ACGGTGGAGGACGGAGGAGGACGGAGGAGGACGGAGGAGGACGGAGGAGGAGGAGGAGGAGGAGGTGGAGGAGGAGGAGGAGGAGGAGGAGGTGGAGGAGGAGGAGGAGGAGGAGGAGGAGAGGGAGGACGGGGAGGACGAGAAGAACGCGAGGAAGACGGAGAAGAAACGGGAGGAGGACGGCGGGAGGAGAAGGCGGAGGAGGAGGACGACGAGGAGGACGAGGAGGAGGAAGAGGAGGAGGAGGAGGAGGAGCCGGAGGAGGAGGAGGAGGAGGAGGAGCCGGAGGAGCCGGAGGAGCCAGAGAATGGAGGAAAACGGAGGAGAGAGGAGGGGGAGGGAGGGGGCCATGGGGTAAACGGGCCCTGGAGGTTCGTCGCTGCATTCCTGGGTCCAGGAGCCCCGAGCGGGCCCCGGGGCCGTCGAATAGCGATCCAGGGTGCAAAACAAGGTCATGGCGATCGTCGTCGGGTGCATGGCCCGTTTTCACGATGATCTGTTCGATTGCCACAAGAGGGAAGAGAAACATACCAGTGCCGATGTTTGTTGCTCGTGGTCGTCGATAGGGGCCTCTTTTGGATCAGAACAGGAAAAACACATAAACGCACAGGGTTTTATAGGTTTTACGCCTGAAGGGAGCGTCGTTGAGAGGGTGCCCGGCACGGATGCGTGGATCGGTGCGGCGTCGTTCTTTGGAGCTGGCTGTTTGCGTGGCAAGTGCGTCTAGCTGGTCGCATGTGTTCGGAACGCGTGACGGGTGGAAAGACCACTCACCAGCAACTGGCAGTCCTCTGCCCGCAGAGCAGAACAAATCGTCGCGCGCTCGCAACTGGGCGTGGGAAAGGAGGTTGGGAAGAGAGCGCGAGTCTCATTTCCAAAAAGTCCATTCGATAGGCAGCAAACAATCTTTTTTCGATTCATCTGCCGCACGGCCAACCGAACGAACGAACGACTGTCTCGGCGCGCAGTATTGGCTTCGTTTGCGCGCACCCTGGCTCCCTTCCGTTGCTTCCTTCGTTTCTGTCTCGCCCTCCTCTTCTTTTTCTTTTTCCCCTCCTTTGCCTTGTCCCGCCCTCCCTTCCTTTCCAGCTCGGAGCTGTCGCCGCGCGCGAAGAGCGCAACCCAGAGGGCGTTGCTGTAATTCCTTTGTGTGCCACGAAGTCTCGCGTAATTCCTTTGTGTACGGTCTGGTTAAACTGCCAACGCGGGGGGCACACAAAGGAATTTCCTTTGTGCACGATCGTTTTCGCCGCCCCCACAAGAGCACGTGCGATTCCTTTGTGTAGAGCTTGCCTTCCCGCCTCGAGAACGCACGGGGCCTGGCGCTACAATCGCAAGGCCCCGGTGCCTGGCAGTGCGATGCAATTGCGCCGGTTACCACGCCCAAAACGATCCTGCGTGGATTTCGGCTGTTTTGCCGAAGTCGCGCTGGCAGCTGGCCAGCCACATCGCCGGCCCTGCATGCCCGCGCGCGCTTCTGCGTTTTGCTGCCGCGACGCGTGCTGCTGTCAACGGATGAACAAACTGACGTTGCACGGTGGTTTGGCTGTGCCAAACCACCATGGAATGTTAGTTTGTAGCGGATTTGGGGATCTGTTCGCCGCCGACAGCCTTGCCACACCATACATGTCAACTGCATCCTAGAGCGCGGCCGTGCATCAACCCCGGTTCGGATCGCTGGGGAGTCAGTCGCATGTGTGCACATGCGTTGCACCGTTGGTGGTGCCAAAACCGTTTGTGTGAAATTCCTTTGTGTGTTGTTTCTGGCTCCTATTGGAGCCCTTGTCGCCAGGGCTGGATTCGCCTCGGAGTCCCGCTCGGAACGCACCCCCGGTAGACGCCCAGGGAATACAGTCGAGACGCCGGAACATGCCCTGGAGGGGCTCTGAGTTTCGGGCCGCTCTGCAGGCTCTCTCCCCCTGCAGTAGGGTCCTTGGCTGAACGAGGCGGACAGAGCGCGGCGCTCAAACAAGTTTCGAGCCGCTCCGTATATTCAGGTCGGGGAACCACTTCGACGCCGCCGTGGCCAGCAAAGCCTGGTTTTGTTCCTTACTCGGCGCTTTTTGGTGGTATCACGACGACGATGACTGCAGCGACAGGGGCAATCACAGCCGACGCGAGGGTGAAACAGCAACCTCAGAATTGGAGGGGTACCCTTCTCATAAGATTTTCAGCGCTTGGACTCCACCCTGGAGCGATCTCCGTCTGAGGCATCTTCATGGGGCATGGGGATATTCTGTGTAGGGCTCGTGCTCTTGACCCGCGTGGTACAGCCAACACGCACAGGAAGGATGATCGATGTCCCTGCATCGGACATCTACGGCGCATCCTCAACCACTTTCGATGGCCAGCCCCGCTCGAGAAGCTTCGGCGTGGGCGCCCAGGGGCCTTGCCTCCTTCCCGCGCATCTTTAGTATCAGTTTTGACGGTATTGTGCACTATGCCCACGGCCCCCAGGGAGCCCGCGCCCTCCGCGGCTGAGAACGTGTGCTGTTCGGGGCGCGTCCCCTCCCCGTGACTTCCGGCGGCCGGGAGGAACCTCGCGCCAGAGGCCAGGGGCCGTTCGCCCTGCTCGGCGCTGGGAGGCCGTTCCCGGGCCCTGGGGCCCCCGCGAAACGGCTCGGGGTGAGGAGCGAGGGGGCGAGAGGTAAGTCGAGCCTGTCCTTTTGCAGGGGGAAGATGCAAAAATGGTAGGAAAATAGTCTGGGGACGGTTTGTTGAGCATTTGTTGCCTATTTCGAGGTATTGTTTGACTCTTGTTGAGCTTTCGCTCAAAATCCGCCTGTAGGGGGACACGCCCCGCGTAAGGCGAGAGTTCCAGAAGGGGGCTCAGGGACCCCGGAAAAGTCGAGTCGTCGGAGGTCTGGGACCAATAGAGGCGTGCGCGCTGTGTGCCCAGCGTGCCCAATAGAGGTCGTCGCACCGTAGAAATGGAGGAGTCCTCGCCCATGCCAGAATTCGCTTGGCCGATGCCCGAGACTGGAAATGAGTTCGGCGGGCGTCAGCGAAACATCGGGGCGTACTGAACCACCATGCTGGCGTGTCCACCCTATGTCGCTTCCCATGGCCGTCTCCATCTCGTCGTCGTCATGCCACATCCCCCAACTGTTCCTCGTCATTCACACACCCTTCGGCCGCATTTGATTGCGAAGGCCTGACGGCCGGTGCCGCCGACCCTGTTCGCAATGCGCAGCAAGAGGCACGGGCTGTGGGATGGTTTTGGGGAACGGGGAGAAGGACGAGAAGGTGGGGGAGGGAGGTGTCGTATCTGACCCGGGACTTCCCCGGGACTCCCCCAGGACCCCCCCCGGGACCCCTTTTCCCTCCCCCGGCGGGGAAGGGAAAGGGAAGGAGCTTCCCTTCGACTCAATTACGACGTTGCTCAAGGTCGGTACGGGGGGGGGCGTCGTATCTGACCTGGGGGGGGGTCGCTACCGCCCCCCGCTACCCCCCCCTCGCCTCCCGGCGGGGGAGGGATCAAAGGGAAGGGGCTTCCCTTCGACTCAATTACGAGGTTGCTCAAGGTCGGCTTGGCTGGAGCCCAGGGGAAGAGGAGTCCCAGGGGGGGGCGTCGTATCTGACCCGGGGGGGGGGTCGCTACCCCCCCCCCCCTCCCGGCGGGGGAGGGATCAAAGGGAAGGGGCTTCCCTTCGACTCAATTACGAGGTTGCTCAAGGTCGGCTTGGCTGGAGCCCCAGGGGAAGATCTGGAGTCCCACTCAATTACGAGGTTGCTCAAGGGGGGAAGAGAGCCCAGTCGTATCTGACCCGGGGGGGGGGTCGGTACCCCCCCCCCTACCCCCCCCCCCCTCCCGGCGGGGGAGGGATCAAAGGGAAGGGGCTTCCCTTCGACTCAATTACGAGGTGCTCAAGGTCGGCTTGGCTGGAGCCCAGGGGAAGAGGAGTCCCAGGGGGGGGCGTCGTATCTGACCCGGGGGGGGGGTCGCTACCCCCCCCCCCCCTCCCGGCGGGGGAGGGATCAAAGGGAAGGGGCTTCCCTTCGACTCAATTACGAGGTTGCTCAAGGTCGGCTTGGCTGGAGCCCAGGGGAAGAGGAGTCCCAGGGAAAGGGAAGGACAGAGACGACGAGTACAAAGAATGACGGAGATGACGGCTCGAACGGAAAAGCCCCTCACACACGCCGACAGGGTCGGCGGATTTGGTCTGGTGTTTCGACGGTGACGATGACGAGTTCGACGACGACGTTTCACGCCGTTCGACGACGTTCGAGACAATCGTTCGACGACGACGACGACGACGACGGCGACGGCGACGACGACGACGACGACGACGACGACGACGACGAGTCGACGACGACGACGACGACGACGACGTTGGCGATATCCGGCTGCGTTTGAGACATTTGTTCCATGACGACGCTGACGGCGACGCCCGCGCGGCAGCGAGTGCAGGAGTGCGCGCGCACACGGAGGGGAGGAAAGGGGCTTTTTAGGAGGAAGGGAGGGATCCCGAGTGCAGCAGCCATAGCGCAGCGAAACCAGACTGCGGGAGGAGGACGGAGGAGTGAGGAGGGAAGGAGGAGGAGGAGGAGGCGTGGGAGGACGGAAGGAGGAGGAGGAGGAGGAGGAGGAGGAGGAGGCCAGAGAGGAATCGAATCGAGTTTGGGGGGCATTCAGTCAGATCACCTTTTCGGGAGAAGCCTGGGTTACTCCTGGTGTCTTCTTACCAGTGTATAACAACAATCTGCATGCTGCAACGCCCTGAGGACGGCGAGGGAGGAGGAAGGAGGGAGGAGGAAGAGGAGGGGGGAAGTCTGGGAGGGAGGGAGGAGGGAGGGAGGCCCGAGGGAGGGAGGGAAGAGGGAGGGGGGAGGGAGGGAGGGAGGGAGGCGAGGGAGGAACAGGCAGATGGACGGAGGGAGCAGGAAGGAGGACGAGGGAGAGAGGAAGGGGGGACAAAGGTGGAGGGAGGAGGGAGCAGGGGCTGGGGCAGGCCAGGGCGGGCAGAGGGCGAGAGCGGGCCTTCGGCTTGGAGCCGGAGGGCCACGGCGCGCCCCTACTGCCTGCAGCTGTTCCAGGACGAGGTGCTGCGGCTCGCCTCGCAGGGCGGCGGCGCGCTGCGCCTCGTCGAGGCTTCACCATCATCATCATCATCATCATCATCATCATCATCATCATCATCATCATCATCATCATCATCATCATCATCATCATCATCATCATCATCATCATCATCATCATCATCATCATCATCATATTGCTGCCCGCGGCTTTTTGTGGCTCTCTTTCGGGCCGCACTACCATTCTCAAGCTTCTCAGGTGTCCTGCCTGGAATGCAGGACCTCGCCCACCATGCAGCGGACGTCCTGAGGTTGGGGCGCAGGCGCTTGGGGCCTCGCTGGTGGCGCGCGCTTCTGCGCCCAGTTGCGGGAACTGCTCCCCGCATTTGGCGTGCCCTGCGCCGCCGGCCCTGGCTTGCCCTTCCTGCGTGTGCGCGGGCGCTGGCGGCCAGGTGGTGGAGCCCTCGTGCGCGGGCCTCGTGGCGGCCTACGCGGTGGCCGCCTGCACGGTCGGGCTCGCCGTCGGCGCTGTGGCAGGCGCCTTCTTGGCGCGCCGCGCGCTCGCACCGCCTCTCGAGCCTGCGGTTGGCGAGCTGCCCACGGAGGTGATCGACATCGCCGTCCTCGCTGCCGAGCAGGTGCGCCTTGCTCGCGCCAGAGCCCCAGCGCTGCAGTGATGGCGGGGAGCTTCCACGCCATACGCTACCGCGTCGGCGGTGTGGCCCTGTGGCACGAGCGTCTGGTACTCGGGGTCTCAGCGGGGTTCGCCTACGTCGTCACGCCCGACTTCGACGACTACGACGAGCCGATCGTGGTTGGGCCCGACGTGCGGGCGGTGCTGCCGTTGGCTGGACAGGGCGACGCGCCTCCCGCGCTGGTCGGCGCCGCCGTGCATCGCTTTCGGCGCCTGCCGTCCGCCGCGGAGCTGTGGGCCGCCGTGGGTCGCTCTGTGGCTGCGGGCAACCCCATGCCACCAGATCCTCTTCCTCTGGCTCTCTCGGCGGCCAATGCGGCGGGCGCGCCTCCAGGACCCTTCCTTCTGGCCGACCCTGCTGCCGCGGCCGCGGCGCCGCCGGCGCCGCCTCTCGCACTTCCACCTGCGGCTGGTCCTGCTGCTCCCGTACCGCCTGGCGCCGTCCCAGGAGTCGCGGCGCTCGCCGCTGCGCTGGGACCCGTGCCACCTGGCCCTGCCGCGGCGCCGCCGCTGGCGCACGTGCCTGGAGCTGCTGCTGGCGGTCCTGCCGCGGTCGCTCCGCTCCCCGCGGCCGCTGGCGATTTCAGGGTGCTGCCGATGGCGATCAACATGCGGGGGGAGCGTGAGCGGAGGTTCGGCGAGACGGTGAACGGCCTCTCCGAGACCGAGGTGCAGGGCTGGCCAGTCCAGGGCCCACGGACGCTTCTCTGGTGCCTGTCCTTCATGTCCACCATGGCGGGAACTCCCACCGCGTGGCATCAGCGCTGGCTCACGTCCATGGCGTTGGCCGACGACGACGAGCACGCCAAGCTCCACGAGACCTTGTGTCGGGTCCTGGACCTCGCCGTGGTCTACGATCAGCTGCAGGTGGCAGCGATGGCGTCGTTCGAGATCGACGCACGTCAGCTCCAGCTGCTGGAGGAGCGGGTGTACGAGAGTCGGTCGCTGCCCCAGACGGCCGCCGCTTCCAAGGCCAATTCTGGAGCTAGGAGTGGTGCGACGGCCGCGGCCTCCAGCATCCCCGAGACGAGCTACTTCCTCGGCGCGGGCGTCTCCAAGGCGAACCTGCGCATCTCGCCGAGGCTGCTTGAGTACATTGCAGATCAGATGCGGGCGGAGGCCGCCATCAGCAAAGAACGTCGCAAGGCACGTGAGGAGCGTGCCTTGCGGGCGCCATGACGTCTGAGAAGTCCAGGCCTGGCTGCGGGGCGCGCCCCAGTGGCGCCAGTCAGGCACATTGCCCCATCGCTGCTCATCAATGGCGGCAGCGAGACATTTTCCTTCTCCGTCCTATCCCTGTGGAGCGGCGATCTGGTATCGCGTCGATGGGAGGTTCAGCCCGCGGACGGGCTGCAAAAGGTGCTGCCTGGAGAGAGTGGTACAACGATGCTGTGTCCACCCTCAACGACATGCACCACTGCGACCCTGATGACATGGTTGCTCCGCCTCCAGGTCTTCCTCCACGCGCTCGCAGCGACGCTGAAGAGTGCCTTGCTCAACAGTTTCGCGATTTTGAACTCCCCTCTGGATATTCCGAATCTCCTACCAGATGCGAGGCAGCCCTAGCAGAGTTGCTCGCGTCGGCGCCGGGGTACTCTGGTGAGTCTCGGGTAAGACCCTGCGACAAGGAGCTCGTCTCCTGGCCGAAGCACGTGGCCCCCGTTCCCACGGCCGATCTCGTGTCCGACGCCGATCGTTCAACGTTGTCAGGGTGGAGGCAACAAATGCTACGTGACCCTGCGGAGACAGCCGCTCTCAGGATGAACTCGGGCATCGGGTCGCCATACGTGGATCCTCGCCTGCGGTTTCGCCCTCGGGAGTATGCTGATTTTTTGCTGCGCCTGGATCAGGCGGGCGTGCTAGAGTGGGAAGTCGCCGAACGTCAGGCGGCGTACTCCACAGGTTTCTTCTTCGTCGAGAAGTCGAATGGCGTCAACCTGCGGCTCGTTTTTGATACGCGGGTGGCCAACATGTCCTTCTCTGCCCCTCCCTCTACGAGATTGCCGACTCCGTCGGCATGGAGTGCCCTCGAGGCGTCGAATGACTTCTACGTGGCGTAGGGTGACATCCAGTGCGCCTTTTATCACATGAAGCTGCCGCCCCAACTGCACCGATACTTCTCCTTGCCAGTGGTCCCGAATCGGCACGCGGGTCTCAAGGTGATCAATGGTGTCAAGATCCCGACGAAGGCCTTTCTACAGCCGTTCGTGTCAGTGATGCCGATGGGTTGGTCGTGGGCTCTTCACTTCTGCCAGTCGGCTTTAACCGCGGCCATTCGCGACGCGGGGATCGATGACGATGCGATGCTGGTGGACGGTGCAGCACCTCGTCCTCTGCGGAACGATACCGACGTCATCGCAGCGGGTTACGTGGGCAACTTCGCCACCGTGTCTCTCGATCCAGAGGTTGCCACCGCTTCGTGCCAGGCCATCCGCGACGTGCTGGTGGCGAGGGGCCTGCCCGTGGACGAGTTCGCCCCCGCGGCGCCTCGCGTCATCTTCACAGGCCTCGACATCCTGGGCGACGTGGGCGTCATCAGGTGCAAGGTGGGCCGGTTGTGCAGGCTGCGCCAGGCCCTCCTCGGTCTACTCAGACGAGGCTATGCGTCGCCGCTTGCGCTGTCCGCCGTGGTCGGTCATTGCACCTGGGGGATGATCACCAACAGGCCCATGCTGTCGATCTTCCACGCAGTCTACCGCTTCATGGGTCAGGACTCCCGTCGGGCTTTGCCGCTGTGGCCGTCAGTCGTCGCTGAGCTCCGCGCTGCTGCTTCCCTCATCCCTTTGTGGTGGGCTGATGTCAGGGCAGAGTGGGCGGCCGCCACTTTCTGCAGCGACGCCTCTCCCTACGGCATTGGCGTCTGTCGCAAGACCGTTGAGCAGGACGTGGCTGCAGCCGCAGGGCGATTGTCGGAGAGATGGCGCTACCGCTTCTCCGATGCCGTGCGCGCTCGTGCGCACGCTTTGGGAGTCGACCCGAATGTTGTGTTGGAAGCGGCCGTGAGCAAAAACTGCCTCAAAGATTGCGAGCAGTGCCCGAGGCCTCCCGAGACCCATAGCAAGCCCCCGCTTACCGCATCATCATCACATCGAGGGATCGACGACGTTTCGCTGGACGGCTTCGACGAGGTTCCCGCTTCGATCACGGCTCTCGACGGCTGGGCTACGATACACAGCGCACGTCATGCTAGGTTCGGTCTGGACATCATGCGATACGAGGCGGAGGCTCTCGGATTTGCGATGCGACACTCGGCTCGGTCTGGACGGCTTCGGCATCATCGCATCCTGTTCACCGTCGACAATTTGGCTCTAGCCCTCGCTGCTGGCAAGGGACGTTCTGGCGCCCGAGGGCTTCGTGATCCGCTACGTCGCCTCTGCGCCCTGTCGGCAGCCTCAGGCATTCGTCACGCAGTGCGATGGATCCCTAGCGAAAGCAATGCCGCTGACTCACCGTCGAGGACAGGCTTCTTTGTCGGGCCGGCCTTTGAGGAGCACCAGGCGGCGGCCCCCCGAGCTTTGCCGCCACCGAGCCTCGACATCGACGGAGCTGAGGACCAAGACGCCGCCAAAGCCAGAACGGCTCGGGCAGGCAGCGCTCTCGGTCGTCGAGTCAGCCGCCGTGTCGGACACGACCATGGTCAACGACTGGGGCGCGGTCAAGAAGTTCGAGGAGTGGAGCCGCCAGACGTTCCAGACCATCACCACAGCGGCGGAGGTCGCTGTCATCCTAGTTACCTACTTCGTGAACCTCTTTCTGGTCAGTTTCGACGATGCTACGGGCCAAGTCGTGCTCGCCTCAGTGAAGCACTACCTGCGCCCGCCTATGGCGGGCACGGCGCTGTCCACGGGTGCGGCTCGCGCCTTGACAGGCTGGCGGAAGCTCGCGCCCCCGCAGATGCGACCCTCTCTTCCACGGGCGGCGATGGCCTCCATGGTGGGCGTCCTCGGTTCGTGGAAGCTCTTCGGCATGGCAGTGTTCATCAGGCTGATGATCGACACCTACCCGACGACCAACGCGGCCTATCGCCTGTCAGCGGGCGGCGTTCTTCGACCAAGACCCGATGCCACTCTCGGAGGCGGACGTCTGGCCTTGATCGTCTACGGCGCCTGCTTCGATCGCCCTGGGAAGACAGAGGATCGGCATGGGGGTGCGGCCGACGACTGCCTACCTCGTCGTCGCACCAGGGAGGAGGTCACGGACCCGAGCCTCGCCCGCCACACCAAGAGGGCTCGAGTGCTGCAGCAGATTGCCACTTTAGACCAGATCCTGATCGGCCGTGGGCGCGGGGTGGACTCGCTGATGGACGATCTCATGCTGCAGACCACCACCACGGGCGTCTTCTCTCTGCGACGGCCGCTTGCCGCGACGCCGACACCGCCAGCGGTCAGGCATCCGCCTCCGCAAGTGACAGCGCGGCGGGCCTCCGCCTGACGCGGATTTGGCGTGCAGCCAGACGCGCGGCGACGCGGTCCAGGTACCTGCCCGCCTTGGTGATTGGCGGCGACGGCGGCGCGGCTCGCGCGCTGCAGCGCCTCGGCTTCGGCGTGCTGCACTTGAGCGTGAGACGCCAGGCCACTGATGACATCACAGATCCTTCAGTGATGAAGCGTGTGCTAGGCTGGATCCGTGCAGGCTGCATTTCGTGCGTGTGGGTGGAGCCCGACACGACTACTTGGCTTCCTCAGAAGAAGCCCGCTGTCCGTAGCATAGCTCGTCCCAACGGCCTGCCGATTTTGTCTAGTGCCCAGCTTCGATCAATTCACATTGCGAATCTATTTTGCAGTCAGTACGTGCGCCTCCTGTCACTATGTAGCAGCAATAAAGTTCCTGCCGCGCTGTGTCATCCAGATGCGTCTTTTATCTGGGATGTCCCAGCCTGCGCCGCTCTCGTTAGCCAGTGTTCGTCTGCTGCTGCTTTTGATGCATGTATGTTTGCTGGCCGTGTAAAGAGGAGATTTCGATTGGTGAGCTGGCATGTTAAGGACATGAGTTCTCTTTCTGCTATCTGTTCGCCTGCCGACTCGCTCTGTTGTCGATCTGGGAAACGACATCTTGGCGAGCTCGGCATCCCATCTCTAGATCGTCAGGTCCGCAGCAAAGCGCTGCGGCCCCCCGTCAATGTTCTAAGATGTGCCTGCGACAGGATGGCTCTCAGTGTTGATTCGCTTCGCTACGTCGCTCAGCAGATCAAAGCTATGTGAAAATTCAGTCAATGCGGCTTTCAGCCAGTGTGATGGGCTAGCCTAAGTACCTGGTGCATGGCGCCTGCATGCTTCCGCCGTCCTCGCCTGTTGCCGTGTCCTTTGCACAAAAAGGGACCCCCTGGCCTCGAGAGTTGCCCACATATTGCTGCCCGCGGCTTTTTGTGGCTCTCTTTCGGGCCGCACTACCATTCTCAAGCTTCTCCCGCCCACCCTTTGTCCCGCTCTAGAATGCCTTTCCTGGTGCATGGCGCCAGCATGCTTCCGCCGTCCTCGCCTGTTGCCGTGTCCTTTGCACAAGAAGGGACCCCCTGGCCTCGAGAGTTGCCCACATCATCATCATCATCATCACCATCACCATCACCATCACCATCACCATCACCATCACCATCATCATCAGCAGCAGCAGCAGCATCAGCATCAGCATCATCATCATCAGTATCATCATCCGCAGCGTGCGTGCAGCAGTCCCGGCGCCCGCCAGTCGTGGTGCCTGGAGGCGGGCTCGAGAGGGGACTCGGCGCGGAATCTTGGCGCGGATTCGGGTCGGACTCGGCACGGATTCGACACGGGGGCCGACGCGGCTTCGGCACGGCTTCGGCGCGGACAGGGCCGCGACGGGGCCGACGAGGTCCCCCGAGGATGCAACATGAAGCCCGGGGCGCGGGGGCGCCGTGCGTCCACCAGCAGTCCCGGCGCCCGCCCGCCGTTCCCAGCACCGCTCGGGCGCCTGCACGTTTCGTTCTTCGGCGGGGGCCGTCGAGCGGCCCTCGGGGGGGCGGTCTTGCGAAAGAGGTGGCGCGCGAGATCGAAGCGTGCACGGGCCAGGGCCGTCCGAGCGACGGCAAGGTCGGGCTGGGGGGTCCTCCTCCTCCTCCTCCTCCTCCTCCTCCTCCTCCTCCTCCTCCTCCTCCTCCTCCTCCTCCTCCTCCTCCTCCTCCTCCTCCTCTCTGTACCACCTGTGGTAGTGGTGGTGGAAAATCGTCTCATCAAGTCTTGCGCCCGCCTGTCTTGGGTGAGGAGGAGTTCCAGCGTCCCTCGTCGCCGTGTGGGGGGCCACCGGCATTCTTAACCAAACGTGTTCGTCGCGCTCGGGTGCGTGCTTGACCCCATCCACCAAACATCTTCCTCTCCACCCCCGGTACCCCCCCCTCTGAAAAGGCGAAGGGTGGGGAGCTAGCCGTACTGGTACTGCTCCTTCTTCTGAAAAAATGTATGTTTCAGTACCTTTTCCTGTAGACCGGAGCGATTGGGGCAATGCCAAAGGCGGCGGTGGGAGGTGCAATAGTTTGCTTGCGCGAACTCTTGCGCGAATTATTGTTGTGGGGCACGAACTATTGCAAGAGGTGTGAACAATTGTGCTTCAAGGAATGCATGAATGCATCCACACGTAAGTATTGCGTCTAGACCGCAAACTATTGCAACAAGCTATTGCATCCATGCAAGAACTCCGATAAGAGCTATTTCACCTACTCTACTCTGCCCCCCCCCCCCCCCGATTCTGGGCTACTCCCACTTCTCGGGCTTCCAAGGAGGCCCTGATATCCCCGCGTCGTGAAAAAACAAGAATCGGACCCCACCCCCCCAAGGGTGCCTCCCCACAGTCAGTTGTGGAGGCCGCTGTCCAGGGAGGGGGGCCCCCCCGCGGTCTCCAGGGGTGCTCAATGCGTTGGGGGCTTCTCCCCCGAGTTCCAACGTGTCAGTGTGTTTTCCTTATGGATGATCTACGAAGCGCGTTCTCTCCGAGATGATGATGATGATGATGATGAGGAGGAGGAGGATGACGATGATGATGATGATGATGATGATGATGACGATGCTGATGATGATAATGATGCTGAGGGTGATGGTGATGATGCTGACGATGATGAGACTGAACATGACAATGATGAGGATGATGTAGATGATGAGGATGATGATGACGATGATGATGCTGATAGTTATGATGATGACGATGACGATGATGACGACGGTTATGATGGTGATGATGGTGATGGTGGTGATGATGATGATGGTGATGGTGATTGTGATGGTGATGTTGGTGATGGTGATGATAATGGTGGTTGTGGTGGTGGTGGTGATGTAGATGATGGTGATGATGATGTTGATGATTGATGTTGATGGTGATGGCGACGGTCATCGTGATGATGCTGTTGTGGATTATGATGGTGGTGATGGTGACGATGAAAATGATGAGGCTGAGGATGATGTTGATGATGAGGACGATGATGATGATGACGATGACGATGACGATGACGATGATTAGGATGATCATGATCATGATCATGATCATGATCATGATCATGATCATGATGATGATGATGATGATGATGATGATGATGATGATGATGATGATGATGATGATGATGATGATGATGATGATAGGTGGTGGTATGTGGTCACTGCATTAGGGAAACAAGTCCCGAGCAGAGCAACACGCACCACGACCACGACGCCGACGACAACGACGACGACGACGACGGATACGAGGCGCGCAGACGATCCGCACCGAAGCACGGATTCGCGAAAGGGCCCACCCTTCAGGTTCGGTTAAACAGCACATCGTTGGGCGGTGTTGCAGCCTCCCCTGAGCATATGCCCGCCCAGAGCATCAGCCAGATTAATCGGGTTTGCACCCTCATGCCTAGCTGGACTCTGGGCGCGTTTCGGCACCCTCTCCCCCAACATCGTCAGGGCCACCGACAAGGGAGAGGGCGGCTGTGGCCGACGCGTCCCTGAGCAAAGAAGCTCAAAGCGCCGCGACTCAGAGAGCCCAGAAGACATACAGACAGACGAACGGACGGACAAACGGAAAGCCAGGCGGCGCGCAATGCTTGACAATCCAAATGGGTGGTGACTGCATTAGGGAAACAAGTCCCGAGCAGAGCAACACGCACCACGACCACGACGACGCCGACGACAACGACGACGACGACGACGGAGACGAGGCGCGCAGACGATCCGCACCGAAGCACGGATTCGCGAAAGGGCCCACCCTGCAGGTTCGGTTTAACAGCTCATCGTTGAGCGGTGTTGCAGCCTCCCCTGAGCATAGGCCCCCCCAGAGCATCAGCCAGATTATTCGGGGTTGCACCCTTGTGCCTTGCTGGACTCTGGGCGCGTGTCGGCACCCTCTCTCCCAGGTGGTGATGATGATACGGATGAAGATGATGGTGCTGAGTATGATGATGATGGCGATGCTGGTGATGTCGGTTATGATGGTGACGATGGTGATGATGGTGATGTCGACTATGTTGGTGGTGATGGTTATGGTAGTGGTGATGATGATGATGATGATGCTGATGCTGATGTTGATGCTGAGGGCGATGTTGATGGTTATGATGCTGATGCTGCTTTTGCCGGTGACTATGATGATAAAGATGTTGATGGTGATGGTAATGGTTTGTGTGGTGGTGGTGGTGTTTGTGGTGATGATGATGTTGATGATAATGGTGATGTGAGGGTGATGTTGATACTGATGGCGACGGTCATCGTGATGATGCTGATGCGGATCATGATGTTGATGATGGCGATAATATTGATGACGATGATGACAATTATGACGATGATGATGATGGTGTTGGTGATGTTGTTGATGTTGGTGCTGCTGATGTGGAGGATGCTGACGTTGGTGGTGGTGATGTTTATGTTGATGATGAAGTTAATGTTGATGCTGATGCTGATTGCTATGAAGATGACGATGATGCAGATGCTGATGTTGCTGATGATTGCGGTGGGTGGGGAGGGGAGGAAATGGGTGGGTGCGGGGAGGAATACGTGGAGGGGAAGGAGGAGGAGGAGGAGGAGGAGGAGGGAGGGGGAGGGGGAATGCAGAGGAGGAAGGCTCAAACTAGGCTCGCTCGCGCCATCTCTTCGGTGGAGTTCCCTATGAGGGCTCGAAGCGTGCGAGGGGTGTGCCGACATGGACATGCAGCGGGCGGGAGCCGCATGCGGATTGTGCCATTGGGGCCTTCGTTGGAGCCCCCTTTTATGGTGGCACCAACCGTGCGAGTGGTGTGCCGACATGAACATGCGGTGGACGGGGAGCCGCATGTGGACCCTGCCTTTGGGCCTTCGGTCGAACTCTCCATGGGGCCACGAACCGTGCGAGGGGTGTGCCAAGGGCAGAGGCAAGGCTGCGGACATGCGGAGGGCGGAGGCAAGGATGGGAGGAGGGAGGAGGGAGAGGAGGAGTGAGGAGTGAGGAACGCGGGGCGCTGTCTCTTCAAAACGAGGACCCAACACCCCAGGATGGTTGGAAAAAACGCATCGCCAGAGGTCTGGGACCGACCGACAGGCCGAGAAGGAGACGGGGAGGGGGAGGAGGAGGAAAGGGGAGGACGGAGGAGTGCCTTCTTCTCCGCCTCCCCTTCCATTCCGTTTATACACAATGTTCCCCTGTTTTACTCCGAGATCGGTCCAACGGGCCGATTGGGCGTTTCGCTTGAGATGTCCTCACCACCTATGACCTTGAAGCTTACACATTGGCAGCAGTTTCACGGATTGAGGGCGGGTGGTTTTCAAATTTGTGATCCCTCCATAGCGCCGCGCATATTGTTTTTGAGAATTTGCAAGAGCTTCACGGAGTGAGACAGGTCGTTTTCAACATGTGGCTCTCGCTTCAGCGCCGCGTACACTCGACTTCAAATTCTTGACGCTTCGCGTATCCCCGCCAGATGCGCTTGTAGGCTTGTGCGTTGCTAATTTGATAGGCCCGTGGCCCGGACCTCTCCGTTCGGCGACTGCTCATCCGCGTCCGCCGGCGACCAAACAAATATATCCCCACCTGAGGTTTTCGTCGGTCGGTGGTGCCGTCCCTCCACTGCTCCGGCCTTCGACCTTGCCGCTCAAATCGCGGTTGTTCTACTCTTCTGGACTGGCGGCCGTCCTGGCATCGCTCTGTCCAGTGCGCTCCCGGCACGTGTGGTTGGCTCCCTGGACTCCGGCCGGGGTCTTTCCCGTGGTGCCTTCCGCCCGACGCCATTTTGTGTGTCAGCCGTGTGGTCGTGGCCCGGTACCGGGCCTTTGTGGGGTCAACCTGACCACCTCACGCACTGGTTCGTGGTGACCCGCGCCATTTTGGCTGCGTCGCGGCTCCGCCGCTTCCCGCACTCGTGCGTTCTGCTGCTTCGGGGTTTCTCGGCTACGGCCACCTTGGGAGTTGCAAGTTGCCAACGCTTTCGCCTCCCGGCGTTAATTCTTTGACCGACTGTCCCTCGGGCCACCTTGCTATTCTCGCTCACGCCGACGTCCGGGGCTTCGCCTTTGCAATTCTCAATTCCACCTTGACCGACGGTTCTTTGGCTGCGGCCACCCTGGTGCTCACGCACTTGTCCGGGGTTCGGGCTCATGCTTTAAGTCTACGGTTTCCGACCCTGGTCGTCGTTTATCCCGACCTCCTGGTGCTCGACGCCCTGCACCAGCTGCACGCTGGCAGTTCGACTCGGTTTCAGTCACCCCTGCCGCCCGCCCGCCGCTGTGCCGCCGCGTGAGGCCTCGGCTAGCTGCGTTAGACGCGGCCTGCCCACGCTGCCTTCGCTTAATTCGTCGCTGCGTAACCCGCTTTGACCTGAGTCGCCGCCGGCGCGGTCGCACGCGGCCGCTGACAAAAAAAATATCCCCACCAGCCCCCCGTGTTGGTCCGCAGCCCAGACCTCTGGCGCCCTGTGGCGAACAGGTCCAATTCACATACCTGGCGATTCAGCTCCCATGGTACCCGCACGTCTGCAGCTTCCTGGCAGCCCCAGCAGGTTGTAGTCCCCACCCTCGGCGCTGCAACACAGCCCCGGCGTAACCGCTTCCCCCGACGGTAGGTCCTGCTTTGCTCCTCGCGCACGCCAGCAATTAGTTCCGCTCGTAGCCCAAGCTGGCTCGACTCACCGCTGGCGCCTTCGCCTGCGGTTGCGACAAAAGTATCCCCACCAACCCATCCTACACCAGGCCCTCGAACGAAGAGCGCCGACCATCGGCAGCTGTTCTCCTCCTCTTCCTCCTCCTCCTCTTCCCCCTCCTCCTCCTCCTCCTCCTCGTCCTCCTGCTCCTCCTCCTTATCATCCTCCACTTACTCCTTTTCCTCCTGCTGGTGGCGTCTTGGAGCTCTCTTGAGGCGTTTTGGTGGATTATTTGGCCCTGCGGGCGGGCGGGCGGCGCCCCGCCCGCTGCACGCAGGGCCCAAGAGGAGGGCCCAAAACGTTTCTTGAGGCCCTTTTGGAGAACATCGATCACAGAAGGGGGGAGCTTCAATTAGCGTCGCCCCTCCAGGGTCCTCCACGTCGCCTCTTGGAGCGCTATTTGGGCGCTCTTGGGGCGCTCTTGGGCGTTCCTGGGGCCGTCTTGGGGCATTATTGGGCCCCTGTTGGGGCTATCTTGGGCCATCTTGGAGCCATGTTGAAGCCTCGGATGGGCACTGTAAGCGCAAAGGCGATAACGCCAAAAACATTGATTCCCCCAGGGTTTTGCCGCATTTTGGCTTCTTGGGGGCATCCTTGGGGAGATTTTTTTCGGACGCATGGGGGACCGTTTTGGTTTCGTCTTGGAGCGTTTTGGAACATCTTGGGAGCTATCTCGAGGCATCTTGCGCTATCTTGAGCCATATTGGAGGCTATCTCGGGCTCCCTGAGGCCCTCTTGGAGCCAATCTGGGCCATCTTAGACGCGCCGACACCTCGCGACACCCCCTGTCCAGGTCCATGATGAGGGGGTAAGGGGAAGGGCCTAAACCCCTCCCCGACGGGGAAGAGGGAGGGGTGGAGGAGGAAACTCCGTAAACCACCGACGCCCATAGGGCTGGTGGGGCTCTGCAAGACTTTCACACGGTGAGGGCGGGTGGTTTTCAAATGTAGTTCTCGCCTAAGCGCCGCGCACATTCGTTCTCAACATCAGCGAGCGTTTCACGGATTGAGGGCAGGTCGTTCACAAAATGGGGTTGCCGACGCACTTCGCCCAAGCGCCGCGCACATTCGTTTGAACAGTTGAAAGGGTTTCGCGTATTGAAAGTGGCTCTTTTTGTGACATGTGGTTCTCGCTCATGTTCCGCGCACGTTCGTTTCAAACATTTACCAGAACTTCACGGATTGAGGGCGGTTCATGCTCAAATTGTTGGTCTTGATTTTGCGCCGCGCACATTCGTACCAAGCACGTACCAGCAATGGTGGTATGGCCACCGTACCAGCAATGGTGGTTTGGAACAATTCAGGATTGTCAGGGCAAACGCAGCCGTCATGTTGATTCGTGGCATTGGAGCCCCGAGAATGAATGGTGTGCTGGCACGCTTCAGGATTTCCAAACGGTCGTTTCCCAACGAGGCAGTCACCTCAGTGGTAATGAACATGTGTAGGGGCCTGTGAAGAGGGAGCTTGGGGGAAGGGTTTGTTCCAACATCAATGATGAGTATTGAGTTTGCACTGGTCCTCCTCCTCTTCCTCCTCCTCCTCTTCCTCCTCCTCCTCCTCCCCCCTCCTCCTCCCCCTCCTCCTCCTCCTCCTCCTCCTCCTTCCTCCTCCTCCTCTTTCTCCTCCTCCTCCTCCCCCCTCCTCCTCCCCCTCCTCCTCCTCCTCCTCCTTTTCCTCCTCCTCCTCCTCCTCCTCCTCCTCCTCCTCCTCCTCCTCCCTCTCCTCCCTCTCCTCCTCCCGCCCCCTCTGCTGACTGATCACCCCCTCGCGGCCCCGAGCCGAGTCTGCGTGGCCGCCCCTCCCCAAGAAAAGCGCGGCAGGCCGGGCCGCACATTGGCGACTGCATGCTCTGGGCGAGCGCCGCGCTCGGGCCGCGCGTGCTCGCCACGGCGGTGGAGCCAGTGGCGCAGGCCTCGGGCAGGAGGAGGCCGATGAGGAGAACGAGGAGGAAGAGGAGGAGGAGGAGGAGATGGACGCGTTGCCCGCGGTTCTCCGCCGGGGCATGGAAGCGTGGAAGCCCCTTTCCACACTGCTGCCTCGGATTTCTTGTTTTCGGTATCTCTCCGATTCAATGAGTCCTCGATGAAGGCAGGAAGTCGAGCAGCAGCAGCAGCAGCAGCACCAGTTGCAGGGATGATGATGATGATGATGATGATGATGATGATGATGATGATGATGATGATGATGAGGATGAGGATGAGGATGAGGATGAGGATGAGGATGAGGATGAGGATGAGGATGAGGATGAGGATGGATGAGGATGAGGATGAGGATGAGGATGAGGATGAGGATGAGGATGAGGATGAGGATGAGGATGAGGATGGAGGAGGAGGAGGAGGAGGAGGACGAGGACGAGGAGGAGGAGGAGGAGGAGGAGGAGGAGAAGGACGAGGACGAGGAGGAGGAGGAAGAGGAGGAGGAGAGGGAGGGGGTATGAGAAGCGGTAGGGAGGAGCTGGAGGAACTGGGAGGCGGAAGGCACATGCCGAGAAAGTCGAGGGAGAAGAGAACAATCATGAAGGAGGATGGGGAAGGAGGATGGAAAGGTAGGGTTTACTTACTTACGCAGCGCCTACGAGCGTCACCCGAAGCGCCCGCGCCGCGCCCGACGCGCGGTCGCGCTAACGAGGCCGGCGCGGGCCCGAGCCCTTCCGGAAGGGGGGGGAGAAGGGAGGATGTAGGTGTCCCCCCTCTCTGTCTGCAAATGTGTTCGCTGGACGTGACATGGACGACGACGATGGCAGGCTGTGTTGCCCTTTGTCTCGGAGGAGTCGCAGATGAGACCAGTGCAGCCCCCCAGGGCTGCCGATGTCTCCATTGGCCCTCCTCCGACTGCCAGCTCCTCCGCAGCACTCCTCCCCGTGGCGGGTGTCCGCTGTTGCGTGCTCCGCTGTGCCCGTGGCGCACCCAGGCTTCCTCGAGCGGGGTCGTAACAGGTGGCGGGGCTTCTCCTCAGCTCGTGGAGCGTCTGGGGTCACGAGACCCTCCTGCTCCTCCGCCCTCGCCTCTTTATGTTCAATTATCGTTTCCTTTATCTTGGGGTTCCTGTCCCAGGGGTAAAAGGAGCCCGCAAAGCGGGCGCCCTGGGCTGTGCCACTCATTAGTTGCGCCCCCCCTGGGCTGACGAGGGTCGTGCACCTTGCTTCCGAGGAGAGCCGAGCCGGACCCCCTCCGTCCTGCCCGACCGTCGTCGGTGGGCAGCGGGCGGTCGCTGCATGAGCGCGCCAGGGGCCTCGACGAGCGGCGCGCTCCGCCGCTGCCCTGCAGCGGGTCCGGCTCTGCAGCGGACCCCATGCTGCCGTGCCGCGCTTCCCCCCGCCCTGTCCCTCTCCCCTGGACTAGTGGCGGCGTCGCCGTCGACCGTTCGACCGACGCTCCTTGCAAGGCCTGGAGAAGGATCCCGAAGAGTGGACTTCGCCACCAGCCTCGGGCCCTGCGCGCGCACATACACACACACTCACACACATGCGCACACACGCACACACGCACACACGCACACACGCACACATACACACATACACACACACACACACACACGCGCACGCACTCACGCACACACGCACGCACTCACGCACACACGCACATATGCATACGCATCACGCACACACGCGCACACACAAACTTGAGGGTTGTGCATGCGTCGGCGAGCGCACGGGGATACGTGTTGGCGACGTGCGCATGATTTGACTCCCTGCTTGCAGATTGTCAGAGCGCCTCACTCACTCACAAACCACGCGCCGTCCGGCGCGTGGACTGGAAAACATGCAAACGGACTCGCGCAAACGCGGCGCCTGCTGAACAGAAGCACAGGAGGGAGAGCTGGAGAGAAGGAGGGAAGGAGAGCAGGAAACATATAGCCGGGCGATACAAGAAATCGAGCCGCCTCTCCGTCAGGTGGTCTCCCTCTTCCGCAAGAGCATCCTGGCCAACGGGCTCCCGGGCGGCGCGACCGGGCCTCGCGGCACCGGCGGCACTGGCCATCCCACGCGCGCGCGGGCACCTGGCCCACCAGCGCGCGATGTGGAGCCCCCTGTGTGCGCAGGCTGGCGCGCGTGAAAGCCCATGCGTGTGTGCCTGTGCGCTCTGGCGCCCGTGCGCCCGTGGCCGCGGGGCCCCTCTCGCCCCACGGGGTTCCACGCGCCTGCCAGAAAGGTGCACCCGCACGACGCGGCTGGCCCGGGCGGGAGCTGGATCTACATGGGGCTGGGCGACTTTCCAGCGCGCGGCCCTGCCATGGCCGCATGGGTTGGGCTCTCGCATGTGTGTCCATCGCGTGCCCCCCATGGAAGTCCCATCTGTGGGACCAGCCGCGTGCGTTACAACATTCGTGGCGCCTTCGGGGGGTGCGCATACCATGGCCTTCGGAGCCCCATTGGGTTCAGTCCGGCATGAGGTCGTGGTCTCGCTTCGGCGCCGCGCACACGTTTCTCAAAACTTTTGTCTGCTACACGAGCGGAGGCCATACTGGGCTATGGCGTGCCATGCGGTCGGCCGGCCAATATCGTGCGCGCTGCCCCGCAAATGTGAAGCAGATTGGGTTCTCATCGCTCCTGCGCTGCCAGCTAGACATAGGGAGGGGCCAGACTCATATAGTCAGGACGCCAAACTGAGAGAATCACCTTGGGCTCAAGAGGGGCTCGCTCTGATTTTCGGGCCGCTCGTTCGATTTATAGGTCGGGGAGCCTGCTCGTGACCGAGGCTCGCCGTGACCAGAACCCCCCGTTCGTTCCTTGATTAGCTGGCTGTCCTCGGGGTAGCACGGGGGCTGTGCAGCTCCCCGAAACCCAGGACCTCTGGCGGCAGCACAGGAGAAGTGTCTTGAACACGGCGCATCTCCCGTCCCTGGTCTCCCTCCTTGCGAGGATCATCGTGCGCCGCGCTCAGTCTTCTCTTACAGTCGGGGCCCTGAAGAAGGAACCCTTTTCATTGGGGAGGGGCTCCGTGTTCCTTGATTGTTTCGCAGTTTGCCTTAGATTTTCCTCAGGTCTTCGATACGAAATCGAAGTTTAATTTTGGAGAATAACTAGGGGCCTCGTTCCTTATGTAGGGTTCCTTATGTCAACGCCCCGACTGTACTTTTCGCAATCTTGTCATTATTCGCGGCTCGAAGGAGCGAAGTCGGCTTACCGAGAAGGAGGCCTTCGAGTGGGAGACAAGGTTCTGGGCACAGGCGGACGGCCCGAGTCGGGGAATGGGGGCTGGGTTCCGGCGGCCCGATCGCCGCTTTCGCAGGTCCTCAGGAAGCATCAGGACACGAGTACGATTAGTCGATTTACTCCACCCAGGCCCTCTCAGAGCCTCCAGAGCACCCCAGGAACGGCTGCGGCCCCTCATGCGCTGGACAAGGATGGGGGCTGTGCGCGCACGGAGCCTAGGCGAGGGGTGGCGCAGTCCTTGCTGGCCCCAACAGGACCCAATGGTTAGGCCAGGGAAGCTCGGGTATCCCAAGCCTGAGGAGAGCGTCTCATGGGGCGCCGGGGCGGCGCGGGGACGCCGAGGCCACCCCAGACCTCGGGAGCCTGTCGGGGCCAACGGGGACCGCTTCGGGGGCCTGTCCCGTGCACAGCCTCGAGTCGACCAAAAAACAAACTACCCCACCCCACCTGCGGCCCTCCATGCTGCGCTACGGCCCAGCGGGCGCCGTTGCGTACACCACGCAAAAATCCACGCTGGATGTCTTGGTATACGCTCAGCCCCTTGGGGCCGTAGGGTGGGGTGGAGGCGCCTGTCCGCCTCCTCCTCCTCCTCCTCCTCCTCCTCCTCCTCCTCGTCCTTCTCCTCCTCCTCCTCCTCCTCCTCCTCCTCGTCCTCCTCCTCCTCCTCCTCCTCCTTCCTCCTCCTCCTACTCTCCTCCCTCCTCCTCCTCCTCCTCCCTCCTCCCTCCTCCTCCTCCTCCCTCCTCCTCTCCTCCTCCTCCTCCTCCTCCTCCCTCCTCCTCCTCCTCCTCCTCCTCCTCCTTGGTGTCGTTTGTTTTCTGGTCCATCGAGCCCCTCGTGCGAGCTCCGGTCTGCGGGCGGAGAGGCCTGTGGCCACCGGGCGCCCGCTCGCTGCCCGCCGCGCGCCCTCGCCCCGGGCGCGAGGTTCGGCATCGACCTCCACCACGCGTGGCTGGGCAGCGCGGCCGGCCCGGCCAGGGAGGGCGATCGGGGGTGGACAGAACCCCCCACCCTGACCCGTGGATGAGTGAATTGTCCGTTGTCGGCCCCCGAGAAGTCAAGCAACGGCGAAGCGTCCTGGCGTGCCGATACTCCTACCAAACAATGTTCTAAGAACCTTTAGTGGTTCCCGCGAAATGTTCTTAGAACATTTCTGTCTGGAGCTGTCCTGTTTTATCACATCTGGCTCATGTTCTAAGAACATGGTTGTTGTCATTAGAACATCTTTGGGTTCTAAGAGAATTTCTTGGTAGGACTATAGGAAGGAATGCCGGGACGGTCGGTCCCTGCTCAGAGAAGGCGCCGCGGCCGTCATTTCCCAGGCTAGCGCCCGCCAGGTTTTGGCCCGAGGTCGTTTTCACAAAGCCACGCTTTACCAAAGGGGATCCTGTCCATCCCCGAGGCGAGTCGGTGCCGTGGCTGAGCTTGGACAGCATCCTGCAGGAGGACCGCCCTCTCGGCCCCGAGCGTCCGCCACAGATATATAGGCATACGCGCAAACACACACACACACACACACACACACACACACCCTCCAGTGGATTCTTCCTGGGCCTCGGGGGAGGGCGGCGATGGTACATGCAAAATTCGTCGGAGGGCCTCTGCGTATATGTTTTTGTGGCGTAGAGCGGGCGGAGGGTCGGCAGTCGGTATCGTTTGCCATATCCGCATCCCCACGAGGCCATGGCATGTCAGGCCCACCACTCCACCACCCCAGTTGGAGATAGGCCCCTATCTAAGGGCCCTCAACCCATCCTGCCACCGTGCCTGGGATTTGGGTACGAAGCCTATTGGGTGTTCGTTGGGATCTCGTGAGAGTCCTCTCGGGGGCGGGGCCTCTTGTAGGCATTTTTGAGGCCTGTTGTAGGCCGTTTTGGGGCCTCTTAGAGTCTCTTTTGGGCCTGTTGTGGGTCTCTCAGGGCCTCTTCCGGATTCTTGGGGGCCTCTTAGTGCCTCTTTGGCTCCTCTTGGGGCCTCGTGGGGCCCTCTTGGGGCGAAGGCTTGGATTTTCGGTTCGTGTTCCCTCTCTTGGTCCTTTTGGGCCCTCTTGGGCTGTCTCGGGCACCTCTTGGACCATCCTGTGGCGCTCTTAGGCCGTCTTGGGTCCCTCCTGGAGGCCTCTTCGGCCTTCTTGGGAGCATGTATACATGCATGCATACGAACCTAGCAGCCATACATACACGCATACGTACATACATAACTGCATTCATACTGATACACATTCATGCATGCATGCATGCATGCATACAACCATAGATACATACGCAGACATACATGCATACACACATGCATACAATACAAACATACATACACACAAACAAACAAACATACGTAACGACGTGCGTACATGTATATGCAGGTTTGTGTACACAAACATGTACACCTAGTGTACCCATGCGTATACATACGCATGCACGTATGCATTCACATAAATATGCGTAGACGTAGACATACATGTATGCACACACGCACACGCATCCACACACATACATATGCATAGGCATACTTCTACACATAGGACGTACACACCACATCCACATGCATGTGCGCATGTCCATACATGCACACACGTACACATACATCTACGTTGGCATGTACATCTACATGTGTATATACATACGCACGCATGCACATGTACATGCACACGCATATACAGAGACAAATGATCATACACATACATGTACACTTGCATATACGGGAGCATGCATATACATGTACATATGCACCTATAATCATAACCATGCATGCATACATACACCACATACATGTACACGTACATCATCCTAGACATAGACATGTAGGTATACACATACATGTCCATGTGCACATACGTATACGCATACATGTACATGTGTGTATACATATGGGCACACACAACCATTCCCAAGTACATACATACATACATACATACCTACACCCATACATCCACCCATACATACATACATACATACATGCATGCATACATACATACATATATACATACATACATACACACATACACACATGCATACATGCATGCATGTATGCATGCATGCATACATACATACATACATGTATGCATGCATGTATACATACATACATACATACATACATACATACATACATACACACACATACATACATACATACATACACACATACATACATACATACATACATACATACATACATACATACATACATACACACACATACATACATACATACACACACATATACATACATACATACATACATCCATACATACATACATACATACATACATACATACACACACATACATACATACATGCATACATACATACATACATACATACATACATACACATACATACATACATACATACATACATACATACATACATACACACACATACATACATACATACATACATACATACATACATACATACATACATACATGCATACATACATACATACATACACACATACACATATACATACATACATACACACATACCTACACACACATACATGCATGCATGCAGGCATGCATGCATGCATGCATCCATATACATACATACATCTATGATGATTGCCTTTTGGGGCTCGGGAGGCCTCTTGGAGGCCTCTTTTGGCGTCGTGGAGGCCTTTTTGGCCATCTTAGGCGTCTTGGAGCGATCGTTCGGCGACTCGGGGCCCTTTTTGACCGTCTCCAGGGCCTCTTGGAGTTTTCTTGGCCCGTTTGTGGGCCCTCTTGGTTAGGAAAAAGACACGCGAGAAGATGCGGGGAACACAGGGGAATCGCGGGACCCCCCAGGAGATTTGTGAATTTGGGGTCTGGCTCCCAAGAGACTCCTCAGGAGTAAGGCTGGGGGCTCCGTATCCATTTTGGCTCAAGCTAACGCGACCTTGGCTTCCTGAGAGGCAGAGCAGAATTAGTCGGCCTCGTACTTCAGCCAGGCAGGGCTCGATGCCCGGCCATGGCGGCTCGTCCCGCCGCAGGGGGCGTTGCAGAGGTGGCAGCAGGGCACGATCCCAGTCGACGTCTCGCATGCAGCCGGCAGCTGCACTTATGAACGAGCCGGTGGCCCCGTCTGGGAATGGGAAGGGAGTCTTCGGCTCGTTCGGCTTAGGCGTGCTCGGGTGCCACTCCGAACAGAGCGCGGGCGGTATGTCGAGTGGCCTCATGAACCCGCGGTGGCGCCGCCTGATAAATGCTGTGTCGCGCAGCCTCGCGCAGCGGTTCTCGGACGGAACGTCGGTCTCCGCCAGTAACAACGCACGGGTGATGGCGGAGTTTTCGCGCACACCGACGCAATCGGAGGTGGTTCGCAGACGGATTTGCGACAGTGTTTCAAGGGTGCGCTCGAGGCAATGGAGCTGAGCAGCAAGAGTCCAGGCTCTGTCATCGGCGCCTACTGCTACCTACAGACAAAAGGCTTGATGCTCACCACCCAGCCATGGCGCTCGTTCGTGGTGACCTCGCTGCTCGCAGCGGTCAACGGGCTGTGCGACCGCGCAGAGCGCGAGCAGGCGATTGGCAAGCTCCGACGTTCTGCGGCGCACTGGTGGTCTGCAGAGAAGGCTGACCAGGCTTTCCAGGTCTTCAAATTGCGCGACGCCTTTGGTGCGAGACCCGCTCAGCCAGCAGAGGATCGCCGAACTGTACTTCGACCTGCGCGCTCGCTCTCTGGAGTCCGCTCCGCTTGACGATTTTAGCAGCTCGGGGTTGTCCATCTTCGACTTCGCTCAGGACACAGCGACCTACAGGAACTCGCATGTCAAAGCCCCGGCGTCGGTGTCGGGCCGCAACGGCGGTCTTGCCGACCGCAGCAACGAGCGCAGCAACGCCAGCCTGGCGTTCTCGGAATCGAGGAGCCGCAGCGTTCTCGTCGACTGCTAGGCGTCCGACGACTCCGTCATCTCCGTTTGACGCGTGCTGTGTTGCGCAGTACGGTGGGCTCTTCCAGCCATTAGCTACATGCGCCCCGAACCGAATCTCATTTCAAAACGCAAGGGCGCCTGCCTGGAACCCGAGCGCGGCCGCGCGAGCGCCCTAGGGCGCAAGTGCCTGGAACCGGAGCTTATTCTGCAGCAGTGCGAAAGTGCATTCTTGTCATCAGTCTTGGTTGGCTGGGCGACTTGAGGGGTAGGATGGCTAGTGGAGGTGCGGTGGAGAGCGTACGAGCCTACAGTAGTGGAAGATGGTCGTAATCTGCATTTAAGGCCCAGAGCGCAAGAGCCGCTCTCGCTCTTGCCGCTGGAGCGGTCCCTGGAATACCCGCTGTGCTGACGCCGCGAATTGGCTCCTCCGATCCCTACCCCCTCCTCCGTTCTCCCTTCTCGCTCCTCTGACTGCACGCCAACTGTCTTAACATTGGATTCACGATTTTCAAGCTCGAAGCATGGGCCTGCGATCCCACTTTTTGTTGATGACGTCCCGTGGCCACTTACGGCAGCAGACGCTTCGCCGCGACACAATCGTTATCCATACCGTCCACGCTGCTCTTCGGCAGGATCTTTTGGCCTATGCACAGCCGTTCTCTCCCCGCTGCACGCGCGGGAACGCCGCAGTCTCCCTGGCTCTCAGCTTGGGGCTGGGCTGAGGGCCACGGCTCCGACGGCCGCGCTGGGCAGGCAGTTTGTCTTATTCATTGGGTCCTACAGCAGCGCTGGGCAGGCAGGGTCGCTCTTTGCGGTCGGCAAAACAAAAAGGAGTGAGGCTGGGGGCTAGGAGGATTAGGCACAGGACCTGAAGGCAGGCCCACTCTGTGCCCAGAGGCACGGTGGCGCATCCAGGGGGGCAAATCGGCCAGTGGAGCCCAGGCCACGCCAGCGGGGCTGGAGCTCGTTGGAACGATGCTCAGGACAGACGCGGTCGCGGATCTCCAGCGGCGGCGCACAGGACACCCGCAGGGGGCACGGGGGCAGCCGGGCGTCGCAGTCCGAGCCGGAGCGGCGGTGGTCCTTCTCCGACAAAGGGGGCGGCGCGAGGGCACGCAGGCGACCGCGCCGCCCGTCGGGCGCGAGGCGCGAAGGGGGGTGACCTGGGTCGCCGCTGGCGGAGTGGGCAAGGCCGAGCTCTGATGGGCCTGCTTTGCACCACCAACACCAGCAGAAGTTGGAGGGGGGAAGGAGGAGGTGGAGGAGGGTGAGGGGGAGGAGGCAAGCTAGGTGCGCTCGCGTCATATCTGACGTCCTACCCCTCCCTCCCATCCCTTACCATGGCGCTGATTTTCTCTATCCGCGGACGCGTGTCGTAGCGGACCTGTGGCTCCGCGCGCGCGTGCGTAGTGGGTGGTGGTGCACGTGCGTGCGTGCGTGCGTGTGTGCGTGTGGTGGTGGTGGTGGTGGTGGTGGTGGTGGTGGTGGTGGTGGTGGTGGTGGTGGTGGTGGTGGTGGTGGTGGTGGTGATGGTGGTGCTGGTGGTGGTGGTGGTGTGGTGTGCTGGTGGTGGTGGTGTGGTGGTGCTGGTGGTGTGGTGGTACTGGTGGTGATGGTGGTGGGGTGCTGGTGGTGGTGGTGGTGGTGCTGGTGATGGTGGTGTTGGTACTGGTGCTGGTGCTGGTGGTGTGGTGGTGGTGGTGGGTGGTGGTGTGGTGGTGGTGGTGTGGTGGTGGTGGTGGTGTTGGTGGTGGTGGTGGGTGGTGGTGGCGGTGCGGCGCGGTGGTGGCGGGCGGATGGGCGCGCGAGAAAAAGGCCCGCGCTGGGGCGAGAACGCCATCCTGAACGACGGAGGCCAAACACCGATCCGAAAATGAGGCCCACGCTGCAGCGGGAGCACGATTCGGAACGATTCGGGAGCAGAAATGAGGCCGGCGCCTCAACGAGAGCAGCATTTTGGGAAAAAGTGACGCCGGCGCCTCAGCGAGAGTCGTTTCCCGAGATTTCCCGGGCATCCTGTGTGTAAAAAATCAATACGCGGAGGGTGCGCGGCCATCACCCGGACGCCTTCAGGGGAAGGATTCTGGAGCAGAAATGAGGCCGGCGCCTCAACGAGAGCAGCATTTTGGGAAAAAATGACGCCGGCGCGAGAGCAGCATTTTGAGAAAAAATGACGCCGGCGCCTCAGCGAGAGTCGTTTCCCGGGATTTCCCGGGCATCCTGTGTGAAAAAAAACAGTGCGCGGAGGGTGCGCGGCCATCACCCGGACGCCATCAGGGGAAGAGGGAGAGTATATTCATATTGAGTAATTGTAGAGGCGCGCGGGGGCACAGGCGCCTTGGGACACCGGCCAGCTGGGACCCAGCGAGCGGGGACACCTGCGAACGGGGGCACTCGCGTCCGTGGGCGCCGGCGAGCAGGTACCGTGTTGCCCGCAGGGCCCACCTCGGGGCGCCCAGGGGCCAGGTGCATGCTGTGGGTCACTGGGAGCTCGGCCAGGCGTGCCGTGCCCCCTTGCGGCGCCTCACCAGGGGCACGTCGCCATGGGAGGACGTTTGACTCCTCCTGGCGTGCCGCTCTTGGCTGGGCAGAGGGGGAGAGCGAAGGCGGACCCGATCGATGCCACAGTTGGGAGCCCACGAATCAGCGAGGAGCTACAGGCAGGCACACACAGTTCGCTCTGTTTCTGCAGCTCCTCTCCGGGACGCCGAGCTCTGCAACCAGCGCTCCTCTCACACTACATGCACTGTTGCCGACGTGCCGTCGATGCAGGGCGTTGCGATTCGATTCGGTTCGCGCGAGCGGGAACGATGGAGAGGAGGAGGAAGAGGAGGAGGAGGAGGAGGAGGATCAGACAGAGGAGGAGTAAGAGCAGAGCAGAGTAGCGCAACGGCAGGAGCGAGGAGAAGCAGGATGGTGAATGTCACGAATGTCTCGCAGCCGCGCCGCGATGCCACCGAGTTTCTCCAATCGGGATCCGCCCGAGGAGCTTCCCCCGCGGTTCCTCGGGTGGCCCCTTCCGTGCCCTTGCGAGTCCCCCCCAGGATTTCCCCACCGTGAAGAGCAACGCAAAGCCATGCAGAGTTGTGCGATGCGGAGCGCACGAAAGCTTGCTGTCACCTAGAGTTGGCAACACGAGGCCACGTAGCTCCAAGCAGCGCAGTGCAGCGCCAGTCTCAGAATAGAGCAGTAAGGCACAGCAGCTCAAAGCACGCTCGACGTGGCCAGGCCCCTCCTGCGACCAGGACTGGTGTCGTTGCGTAATGGAAGCCGCTCTGGGAGGCGCCGGTGGCAAGGACGAGGAGCAGGGCGTATACGCTGCACACCTGTCCCAGGGCCCAGGACGGGCCTTGCCAGGCAGGTCTGGCTTCGGTGCCTGGGCGTCTCCCTTGGCGGAGCTTACGCCCACACCCATCCCTTCATTGAAGGAGGAATACCAGGCTCGCTGCAGGGGCAGAAGTTACCTCAACCCATTTTGAGGGATGAGGCGCCCATCAGAGGAACAGGTGCTTGAGACCATGGCGGGAGACTGTGTCAGCCGTCAAGAACGAGCAAGTGTTTAGCCAGGGTGGCACGAGGCACGGGAGGGGGGATGGGGGGGGGAAGGGGGAGAATGAGGAGGAGGAGGGTTCGCTTGTTTTCTGGCAGGATGTGGACATTCTCAAGATACACACCAACGGCGGCGAGACAGCGATACTCGACGGCGCGCGCCGGCTGTTCGCGGACCACAAGGTGCGGGTGGTGATCGTGCACTCTGCGGAGGCAGCTGCTGGCCAGGGGGGAAGTTGGGGCCTCCCCTCCTCCTCTTGCTTGGCCTCGTGGCTTGGCAAGATCAGCGCAACCAGTCTTCTCCTCCTCCTCCTCCTCCTCTTCCTCCTCCTTGCTCCCTCCCTCCCTTCAAGCGAAGGCGGCGTTTCTGGATGGCTCTGCAGATTCAACAGACGAGGGGGTGGCGAGGGCAGGTTGGGGCTGTTATTTGCAAAGTGCAGGTCCTGAACTCAAGATGTATGAGCTCATTCCTGACAAGCAGACGGCGCCTTGCTCTGAGATTGCGGCACTGGCTTTCGCTATCGCTATTACGGAAGGATATATTCGAATACGGACAGGTGTGCAGAATGTATATGATGGTTGGCAGGCAGGTCGAGACATCAACCCCGCAGGAAGCAACCTCAGTTGGTGGATGGCCGTCAGACAAGCTGTGGACAATCGGCCAGGTGGACTCGAAGGTACCACTTTTAAGAAGTGCTACTCACACCTGGATGAAGCCACGCAGGACCTCATGCACCAGGATCCATCAGCTCCCTGAGGAAATGCAATGGCGGGCGAACTAGCCACGGCAGCAGTGGCGAAGGCGACGAACTACACCCAGCCGCAGATGCGCCCTGAACATGTGGGAGCACCTCTTGGCCAAGATCCTCATGCGAGCAGCGGCAGCTCCAAGTCATGTTGCCGGCGTACCTCGAGAACCGTTGCAGATGCACCCCAACAGTTCAGGGACACCGCCGGCGCTCACTGAGAAGATGATTTTGGAGGTTCAGAGTGGGCACCAGATGAAGCAGCGTGTCACGGACAGACACGTGGTATCGCAGAAAGTACAACCTTCTCTTGGCTCAAAAAGTTTGGCGGAATGGCTTCGATATACCAAATATGCTGGTTGGGAACGTCGGTCTGATTACAATGTGCCGCTCCAGCCTTCGTCCACTCTCCAGGCATCCATTGTTATCCGTGGCCAGAGTATTTCAAGTGATCACCGTTGTTCGCTCATGAATGGTCAGCTCTCGTGCCAGGTACGTGAGCCGTCTGGTCACAGTGCTTAGCACGGAGGAGGCCGACTCAACAGATCGGTGGCGGCGCGTCCTGACACCATGGTCGCCGGCCGGCGCACAATCGTCAACAATTACGAACGTGGAGCTGCCCCAAAGGATGGAACCACGACGTGGCCCTCAGGAGAACCCGTTCGTCCATGGGCCCCGGCACCCCGCCGTTGGAGGCGAGGATTCTATGTTTACCTTGGACTGAGTTCTGAGGTAACTCGCTTGCATTCTCCCTTGCCCGTTTTCCCCAGTCGAGCCACGCGTTATCGAGTGCGTAGGCCTGGCTCCTGCTGCTGGTGTTCCCTCTTGCTCTCTCCCTCCTGCTCCTCCTTGCTTCCCCCATGTTCTCCTCCTTCCCCCCTTCCTCCTCCTCCTCCTCCTCCTCCTCCTCCTCCTCCTTCTCCTTCTCCTTCTCCGCCTCCTCCTCCTTTTCCTCCTCCTCTTCCTAGGGTGGTCGGGCACGATGCAAGGGGGCCAGGGAGGGCTGGTCGCTTGGAGAGCTCAGCACTTTGGGCGGCAGGCCTCCCAACGGCCCCCCCAAAGGGCCGCTCGGGGCGACCGCCGCCCCAACTGCCCCTATGGGGCCTGGGGGGGGGGGAGGGGTTCTCGAGGCCGGCCTGGGCCCCCTCGGGTTGTCGTCGGCGCGCCGCCCCCCCCCCCGCTTGGCATCGCTCGGACGTGTGCATTTTTTCTTCGGCGAGGACTATCGAGGAGCATCCTTGATGATTTGGCGAAAAAAACCGCGCACGAAACCGGAAAAAAACACAGGGAATGGACGTCCGAGCGATGGCGAGCACCTGTCAGAGGCCCAAGTCAGCAGAGTTCGGGCGCCCACCCACTCCAGAATCATATCGGAGCTGGGGGTGGTCGGGGACAACTCCTGGCTCGCGCGTCCAGGGCCCAGACTGGAGTTTCAGGCCCGGCCCGAGAGTTACCCCGGACCGGAGTTATCCCGGGCAACCCCTCCCCCCCAAACCAGGGGACCTTCAGAGGAGCAAGCAACAAGGGTCGGAACGCTGCACATGCTTTCGCCCTTACATGGCACCGATGCCGCCACCCTTCATCGTTTGCGTTTTCTGGTGGCCTCCTGGGGGGCCCTTTTCGCCACGTCTGGATTTGCCGCGAAATTCTGGTCAGACCGCACCCATGGAAAAGGTCCTGGAAGTATTAACGGTATTGGTATCTTCTGGTTCCCCCTAGCGACCCTTCACAGCAGGTCCGAACCGCTGGTCCCCAGGCCCTCCTTGGGACGCCATCCTGGCCCTTTTGCTGCGCCGCGTCTGGCCGTGGAAACGAGGGGGAGGGTCCGAAGGTCCAGAAGCGGAGGAGGAGAAATAGGAGGAGGAGGAGGAGGAGGAGGAGGAGGAGAAGGAGCAATAGTAGGAGGAGGGAGGAGGAGGAGGAGGAGGAGGAGGAGGAGGAGGCCTCGGGAGGATGGCCGATGCCCGCCCGCGAGGCCGAGGAGTTGTGGGGCAGCACGTCGTTCTTGCTGGAGCGGGGCTACTCCGTCAGCACAGGCCGCCGTGCGCGCCGGGTTGCCCCCTCCACCTCTTCGTCGTCTTCGTTTTGTACTCCCCGTTCCAGCTCCTCTCGTTCGCCGCCGCCTCGTACGATTCCCCTTGGGCGCGCAGCGCAGCCAAGGGGCTCCCCATACAGTCTCCTTGCACGACCACGCTGCCTTTCATGTGCTCATGTGTGTTTGGATGGGCCCGTTGATATTGCCACTTGTTCCAGGTGGGCCGACGATGCCCCTCACCGTGAGGGAGAGGAACCACGGCTTCGCAAGGGCCCCAGAAATCGAATATCGCCAACAGTGTTCATCGGGATTTTGGCTCACGACGCGAACGTGCCTGCGTCAAGGAAAGGAGGAGGAGGAGGAAGAGGAGAAGGAGAAAGAGGAGGAGGAGGAAGAGGAGGAGGAGGAAGAGGAGTGTGGTCGATTAGTCGAGGACCTCGGACGATGGTCTGATGAGCTATGCAGGAGGGGGGGGCGGGCGAGGGCGGCAGTGGCCACCCTCAGCTCAAAAGAGGAGGCGGAGGAGGAGGAGGAGGCGGAGGAGGGCAGAAGGCGGGAGGACAGGAGGAGGGAGCAGGCGGGCATCGGGAACCAAGCGGGCGTAGGCAGGAGGCGGGAGGCGGGAGGCAAGACGGAGGAGCGGGGACGAGGAGGGGGCACCTCCCCCCCCCCGCGGCGCCGCGCCGCCCAGACGGCCGCCCGCTCCTGTCGGGCGACCGGCGCTGGCTGGAGGAGCGCGTGGCGGAGCGCGGCGGCCTGCAGCTGCACGCGCTGCGCCGCGGGGAAGCAAAAAGACGCCGAGCGACGTCGCTGCCGCCGCCGCCGTCGCCGGGGCTCGACCTCGGGAGCCCCAGGCGCAGAGTCCCCTCTCGCGCCGCGCAGGGGGCACGTGACGAGGTGCTGCACCGCTCTCCGCCCGGGTGCCCTGGCCAGGCCCCGGGGCCGTCCAGGAGCGGCTCGTGACGGAGAGTTCGCTCGGGGCGCCTGGCTCGACAGGACAGCAAGGCGTTTCGGAGGCGATGGGGAGGAGAAGGGGGAGGAAGGAGGAGGAGCACGAAGGGGAGGGTGCAGGCAGTCGGGACGTCAGCAGATGAGCGTTCCGCGCAGGCTTGCTATTGTTGCCGCTCCTCCTTCCCATCACCCCCCGTCCTTCTCTCAGCATAGGTTCGCTTCTCTGGATCGAGGAGATGCCCGTCTGGATGGGCATCTCACGGCCATCGTTGGGCAGCGAAGATGCCCACGAAGGTGGGAATTTCATTCAATTACAGGGAAGATCGAGCCCAACCTCGAGCATCCCTTCCCTCCCCATTCTCCATTCATGTTGCGTCCGTGCTGTCCGTGCGCCAGTCAGAGTCGAACCATGGAGGAGCGAGCGGGCAGAAGGAGATGTATGTTCGGCCTGTTTCTGGGTTCTAGCAGGATATACGGGGTTCTTACATACTTTAGGTGGCATTCGGAGGATCCCCGGGAGGCTAGGAGCAGGAGGAGGAGGAGAAGGAGGAGGATCGTTAGCAATTGCATCCGCCGCAGCAGCACCAGCACTTGAGGTACCAGCAACACCACCACCAGGGGCACCAGAAGCACCTGCGGGAGCAGGTGTAGGTGCACGAGCAGAAGCAGGAGGAGAAGGAGCAATGACTAAGAGCGGCAGGAGCAGCCGAATCACCAGCAGCAGGATGTGCAGCAGGAGCACGAGCAGATATATGGAAAGGGTCATGAGGAGCAGAAGGAGGGGGCAGGAGGCACAGAAGGTGAAACAAGAGAGAGAGAGAGACGTTTCATCACATGCGTTACTCGACAACTTCGAACCGCAATGCGAGATGACCTCCACTATAAAACTATCTCTCCTGTCTCATCTTACACTTGCTCGGTCCTCCTTGTCTATCCATGTCGTTGACATAGCTTCTCATTTCATGCTTCCCATCCCGATAACTCCAAGATCCATGCTTGCTTCCGCAGTCCTGGCGCGAGGTGGTGCGCTACGATTGGGGAGGGACGCCGCTGTGGCTCGCGCCGCCACCTGTAGAGGTCGGCCACCCTTGCCTGAGATTGCCGTCAGTGGTGCACACGTTTGCCAGCCAAACGACATTGGATGGCCTGTAATCGTCAATGGGGTCCCGATGGGTCAATGATTGCTTCCCCTTCCATCAAGGAAGACCGCCCGCCGTTGCACAAGCAAGAGGAATGCCCATCATCGTCGCTCAACAATATGCGAATAGTCCATACCATATGGCGGCAGTCGGATTAATGGTTTGTTGCGATCCTGACGTGGCAAGGACCGTCAGACGGAGAGCGTCTTGAGGTACACTTGTGAGTCGTGCTCATTCCGCCACCATGCTTTGGTTGCAGGTTCGAGGCTCTTGGATGCCTATGGGGATATCCTGGGAGGCCTCTCGGAAGCCTTTTGTGGGCGGTTTCGGGGTGTCGGTTGGTCCTCTCGGGGGCCTGTCGGGGGCTTCGTGGGGTATGAATTGGGCCTCGCTGGGGCCACCTGCGCTTCTGGGCGGCATTCTGGGGGCTTGCTTGCCGCCTGGAAGGTCTGAGAGCTCGAACTGTTCGGTAGTATTCCCCCTCGGGGGCCTCTCTTGGGACCCCCATTGGGCCGTCTTGTGCGCCTCTTCGGCCGTCTTGGAGCCCGCTTTGGCCATCTGGGGGGCCCTCTTGGGGATAGATTCTGCCGTCTTGAGGCGATCGTGGAGGCCTCTTTGGCCGTCTTGGAACATCGAGGGCCCGAAAAGGCGAGAACGCCGAACTCTTTCAAACATTGGAGGGACAACGCTGATTTGGATTTTCGGGGCCTTCTTGGAAGTGTTCTTGGAACCTTGTTGGGGCGGCTTGCAGGCGTCGTTGGCCGTCCAGAAACCATCTTGGGCGTCTTGGAGCGATCTTTCTGCGACTCGGGGTCGTCTTGGCGGCCTCTTGGGGCCCTCTTGGCTAGACAAATGGTATGCGACAAGCCGTGACAAGTCCTGGACCATTTGAGAGTTTGGGGTACAATCCATAACATACACGTTCATTCAGGACTGAGGGCGGAGAGTTCCACGGGACCTGAGGACACTCCAACTCATCCCCCGGGCACAGTGGCGGATAGAGAAGAGTTAGAGGAGCAAGAACCGTTAATTCAGGTACAAGAGGCGCTTGGAAGAGTCACGTTTATTTGCAGAGGGACAAGAGTAGGACGATCCAGAAGAGTCGCAGGAGTTATCGGAGTGATACAGCCAGAGTTGTTGAAAGAGTGCGAAGAGTTGACAGGTTACATTGGTCAGACTGGTTACATGGCATGCCGCAATGCAGAGAAGGGTTTTTAATACGTTGAAGTATGAATGCGCTACAGAACACTACTATTAGTTTATAGAGCTCGTAGCCTTGAATATGTCAGGCGACTTACGAGAGACGAGGTAGGTGTGCGAGATGCTATAAAGTGAGTCGGATGAGGGGAGTTCTGAACGACGCATATTCATTCGAGTGGTAGGAAACGGGTTATAGTGGCTGAGTGTGATAAAAAGAGGTGTATATATAGCGTTGATGAGCCATGTGTGTAGCGATCAGTGCGCATGTGCTGAAAAGTGTTATAAGGGCCACACGCATCAAAGAAATCAGAAGAGCTAGAATTGTGGCACATGTGTAAGTACCAGGATAATGCAGTTTTGAAATCAACAAGGCACCCTCAGCTCGATGTCGCTGGCTAGCCACGAGCTATGAACTGGAATTTCGTGTGTGTGTGTGTGTGTGTGTGTGTGTGCGTGTGTGCGTGTGTGTGATTGTGAATGTGTGTGTGTGTGAGTGTGTGTGTGTGTGAGTGCGAATTGTCCAGGCAGTACTTGTGTGTAACGTGTTTCTGCTTGCCTCCCGAGCTTGGAATCAAACCTGAGCAGTCGGGTCACATCCGCCGAGTCGCCCGCAGCGCCCGTGGTACGCACGCCGGTTCCCGCAGCCTGGGAAGGTGCCTCGCGCCGTAGCGCCAGCCACATTTCTGCGCTCGGTTATGGCGTTCCTGTACATTCGTGCCTCTAATGCTGCCAGCTTGGAGTGGCACTCCCGTCGAAGTTCTGGCCATATTTCCAGCTCGGAGATCGTCCACAGTAGGTACGTGAAGGACTGCACGGCCTGCAAGCACTGGAAGCTTCTCGTCCCTCGAGGGCCACAGGCTCCCACAGAAGCCCGGGGGCACCTCCGGAAGCTCCAGGCCCGACGACAAGCGTGCCCACAGATTTCTCCTAGGAAGATGTCTGGTCGCATGCGTCTGCGGCAGGTAGGTTTCACTGGTGCTCCCGCCTCAGCGATGGTCAAGATCCCCACCTGGCGAGGGACCTCCTCCCCCGCGGCGGCCGCACCCGAGCCCAGAAAATCGCGGTGCCCGTGGGCTCTCGCGTGCGACGGGTTTTGCTGGGAGCCGTTGGGCGGTGCCTGCGCTGGCCCCCGCGGTGCTTGCGCTGGTCCCTACTTGGCGAGGGACCTCCTCCCCCGCGGCGGCCGCACCCGAGCCCCAACAAAAATGGCGGTGCCCGTGGGCTCTCGCCTGCGAGGGGGGGGTTGCTGTTGGAGCCGCTGGGCGGTGCCTGCGCTGGTGCCCGCCGTGCCCGCGCCGGCCTCGCGCGGCCTGTAGATGAGGCTTCCGTCGTAGCAAATCAAGCAGCGGCGAGGCGTCCTGGCGTGCCCGTAGGCCTACCAAACAAATTTCTAAGAATCTTGTATGGTTACCACGAAGAGTTCTCAGAGCATTTCAGGCTGGGACCGTCTCGTTTTAGCGCATCGGGGTTATGTTCTAAGAACACGGTTTCTGTCCCTAGAACATTTTTGGGCTCTAAGAACATGTCCTGGTAGGCCTATAGACATGCGAAGGCCACCGTCTTGGAAGGCCCGTCCTGGACGGTCGGTCCCTGTTCGGGCGAAGGCCACCGCATTGGTTCAGGGGACATTCGGGCGCAGCGCTGGGGAGGGGCGGGCTCCCGGGGGCAGCCCATCGGGGGCCGAGGGCCCACCCCCGCCCACGAGCGTTTCGCTGTCGGGGGGCCCGTCGCCGACCTCGTGGCGATGCATCGCCGACTCCGGCTCGACGTTCCCCCCCCCCCCCCCGCCCCGGGCCAGTGTCCCCCGCACCTCCCCCCTCAGATGCGGTGCGTTTTTTTGTTGTGTGTGTGTGTGTGTTTGTGTTTGTGTTTGTGTTTGTGTTTGTGTGTGTGTGTGTGTGTGCGCAAGCAGGCGCGGGCTGTCCCAGGCCTGCGTCGTGCAGGCGAGGGGGCGCTGTGACCTCCATCTCCTCCGCCCCCGCATCTCGCTCGTCCCCCCCTTGAACGAAGGATTGCAAAAAAACCCTCCCTCCCTCTAACGAAGGATTGCAAAACTCTCCCTCCCTCTAACGAAGGGTTTTTTTGCAATCCTTCGGCTTTTTTTGCAACCCTCCCTCCCTCTCTCCCCCCCTTCGATTCCACCTCATCCTTGATCCCCCTTCCCTCTCCTCCCCGCCGGCGTGACCTCTTCTGACTCCTCACCCGAGGGCTGCTGAGGGTGCCCCTGGCCCAAGGTACGCCCATCTTCCCGCTCCACTCCAGAGCCCCTGGGGCCCCCCTTGGGCCCGAACCCCTGGGGCCCTCTTGGGCCCCTGGAGGGTTGCTCCGGAGGCCAGGGGCCCCCCTCGGGAATCGCGGGGGCACATCGGGCCAGTGACACCTCCTGCAGCACCCGGCGCATCCTGCTGCTCCTTTCTCCAGACGGGCTTGATGCCTTCGCGGCCGGGCGAGAGAGAGAGAGAGAGAGAGCTGGGCGCCAGGGAGCCCGCCAGAACCCCCGCCCAGAGGTCCGACGTGGCGAGTGGCCGCCCTGCTGCGAGCACTGCGGCGCGGACGGGGGGTGTCCTCCCTTCTCTCATTGCCGCCTCCTTCTCCGTTCTCCGTCCTCCTCCTCCTCCTCCTCCTCCTCCTCTGCCTCCTTCTCCTCCTCCCTCCTCCTCCCTCCTACCCCTC